ATCCTTGAACTCCAAAAAAAAAGAAGAAGCCAGCTGGGAATTCCATGGCCCCGTGGAAGGTTCTAGGGGACAATCTGGTCCAGGCCATTTTCCTCTTCGTTTCTTGTAGGAACCTAGCTGAACACGCGGTGCTCCAAACTGCCTTTACCCCCTGCTAGCAGTTAGCCCCACTTCTCCTCATCCCTTCTCCTGGCTCTCCACCCAAGAGTTTGAGACCTCTCCAAACTCTGCCTGCCCAACCAGCAAGAAATGTCCACTCTCTTGTAAGACCTTGAAGCAATACCTGCAGCTGTGCTGTCCCCCCAACCCCGTTACCCTGCCAACCTGACCAAGATGTCACAGCTGGGCTCTCTCTCCCCTTGAGCCAGCCCACTACCTTGAACTATAAAAATCATGGAATTTCTTTGTTCTGGATCAAGAGGGTTCCAGGCACACTGGCCTACCCTTGGCCCAGGCATTTAAGAAAGGCTTTGATTAGTCACAGTGGCGTGGCGGATCTCGCCCATTTACAACACTCTGCTGGTGTCGGCAGTCCCTGGCGTTCTTGGCCGGTAGACTCTTCCCTCCACTCCACCTCTGTTGTCACATGGCTGCATCGCTGTGGCTCTTCTCTTCCTCTTAGGAAGACGGCAGTCATGTTGGACCTGGGCCCACCGTAGTGACCTCATCCTCGCTTGATTTCACAGCCTATTTCCAAATAAGGCCGCCTTCCCAAGTACTGGAGATTAGGACTAAACTAAAACGTCTATGGAAACACAAATCAACCCTTGACAGTACTTCCCCCCAGACCTTCCCTCTAAGGCAGTGGTAATCAACCTTCCTCATGCCGCGACCCTTTCATACATTTCCTCATATGGCGGTGACCCCCAACCATAACATTATGTTCGTTGCTATTTCATCCCTATCATTTTGCTACTATCATGAATCAGGCAATCCCTGTGAAAGGGTTGTTCAAGCCCCAAAGGGGTCATGGCCCACAGGGTGAGAACCGCTACTCTAAGGCAAGTCACACATCTGTCTCTCTGGCTCCCTCTCCAGTTTAACGGGCATCAGCGTGGTGTCTGGCACCCCACAGGCACGCAGTAAAAACTTGTTGAACATTCTGGTGCTCTTTTTCAAGTAAACTTTCTCTCCTTGTCTCTAGGCTGCCGAACATTGCCCCCTCCACCCCCAACACCCCAGACACCAGGTCTTCCAGTGAACTTCCCTTTGGACCAGTCCTCTCAACCAGGGCTCCTGGGGACAGGAAGGTTGCCATCGCTCTGCTCAGACGTCACGTCTTCAGGAGCAGCCCAAGTTTGTGTAACCCACAGTAAGCCTTCGCTTCCACACCAGCACAAGAGTGGGGAGGTGGCGGCTCTGTTTCTGGCCTGAGACAGATGGAAAAACACAAAGGAGACTCCTAGTGGTCCCACCATCGCTATCCTGGTAGCCACCCTGCCTTTGTTTGCCTCGGCACCCATACCCCTTTGGAACAGGGAGATGAGCCTTACTCGGCTTTCTTTGCCTGGTTGGGGATTTCAACTGAGTAGGCGGCAACCACTTCTTTTTTTTTTTTAAACTTATTTTTCCCAAAGAGCGAGCTCCTGCTCCTAACCTGGTCTTCACTCAGGTCCCTACAGCATGACCTGTTGCAATGATAGACTCCCCAGGAAATTTATTGGTGGAAGTATGGAAGACCCTTGTTGTCAATGCCGTCTTGCCTCTCCCACTTCACTTGGGAGAAGAGCATCATGGGTAGCGGTGGCACTTGCAGGGAAGGCAAGGAGAAGCCGCTCTGGTTCAGCTGGCTGTCAGGGTCCCCAGAAGTTCTCCCCCAGGGAACTGGCTACAGGTGCCTCCCATATTTGCTCGTTGGAGTTCTCTTGCTCCCACAGGCTGTGGCTCAAGGTGGCTCTCATGGGTATGTTCGAAATGACTGGAGTTGGCACTGGGGAGGGGGTCTTGCGGTTGCTGTTGCAAAGGTCCATGTCTATGGTCATGCTGTTGTCTCTGTTGGAGCCCAGGGATTTCAGAGGCATTGATGCAATAGGAGAAAAAAAAGGAGAGAAAAAAATGCTTTAAAATGTAATTGAAAAAAACCTCTATTCTAATCCAATCAGGGACGCCTTGGCATTGAAAATCAACATGATGAGCGGTGATCTACAAAGCCCGGAAGGCACAAAATGAGAAAAGGAGGGTAGGCTGGCGCTGCTGAGCTGGGTAGAGCAGACACCTCTCCAAACCCTAAGTATTGCTTTCCTGCTTCGAGAACCTCACCACTGACAACTCAGAAACAAGCTCTGCATCCGCCAATACTCGGAAAACACCCACCAGAGGGGGCACCAGTCTCTAGGTACCAAGACAGGCTTAAACCAGTTCTTCAAAATCGTAACAGCTTCCCCAAAAGTGACAGTCACTTTTTCGAGTGGGTCTAAACAAAGACAACAACAACAAAACAAAACAAAAAATTCTGATGACAAATAGAACATATGCTGATTTTAAAAAGGAAAAAAACGATTTCTCTGGTTCTTTGAGGCTTCCTCTCCCCCCACTATCATGACCCCAGTCCTGCCTTTCCGTTCTGGCTAGACTGGAGCATGTCCACTGGTACAGATAAGAGCTCACAACACACGGAATCCAGGACAGATAAACTGCTCAGGAACAGAAATGGGAGTAGCAATACCCTCCCTCATGAACCTTGATAATTCATAAATTATTATTATTTGGTCATAT